TATATGTGCATCAAAAGGGTAATTCAGAGAATGAAGACTACCATGGTATAGAAAATGAGATTTGTTTTTCACTTTGGCATATATCTTCTTTTAAGGTGTGATGTTTGACACCCTAGAACAAAGAGTGCTAGATGTGTTTCTTTTTTTAATGATTCTTTCCAGTTTAAAACAAAAGTTTCCATCAGCATCAGTGTCTAGGCCCTCTGTGACGAACAAATCTCTCATGGCAAAGCTATTCTAACATTAATAACATTTCATGCTACAGAGCTTCATTTGTACATATGACAAAATTCTGCCCTTTTTCCACTGAAAGTGAGGTTTATAGTCATATATATACATACTTTTTTGGTGTCAGGGATTGAACTCATGACCTCGTGTTTGCCAAGCAGATGCTTGTGCTGCTGAGCTATACACCATTCCCCCCCCCAAATTGCCTAATAAAATAGAATTTTGTTTGATCTTTAAATGCTGTATATTACTTAATTGGATTCATATTAGTAGATATCATTTATGTGCCTAATAAAATACAAAATGTGAGTGAGGAGTTTTTTTTGTCCATTATTTTTGACTGCTACAATAAATCCTGATGGTGAATACTTTTCCAGAGAAAAAGAAATCAATACGAGGTTAAAATACTGTGCATGTGTTAAACCACAATTTCAATTGTATATTCAAATCAGATGTTTGTTCTCAAAGAATGGAGAACTCCAATTATTTCAGAGAAAGTAAATGTTTATGACAGATCAATATCTTTCTAGAAGGTGAGATTCAGTCTTAAAGTCATTATCTTTTCAATTAAGGTTTTAAAGACAATTCATTTAAGAATTTCATGAAGAAGAAAAGATTAGGATTAATCCTTATGGTTAACTAATTGCAATAGCATGTATGACTCTTAAAAAGAAAGTTAACTCTGAATTCATAAAGTTATTGGTTAACGGGCTGCTTCTATACTTAAAGGAGAGTGATAAGTTCATTAGCTACAGACTTAAAAAATTAAAATAAGCATAAAAATGACTGCATAGGGTGATTCTTTTTAGTGTCATTATAAAGTTTACTGATTGGTCTCATTTAGGTGACAGGACTAGTATTAAATATATTACTACAGAGCATTTTTTCTGAAATATATTGTAATGAAATATTTTATGGATATATATGTGTATGTATTTGTATATAGTTGCACCTGCCTCTATTTTTGTGAAAGGATAACTTTCATAGTTCTTTAAATAAATGTATAGAGGCTACCATAGTTGTAAGACAAATTCAGGAAAAAACAGTCTTATTAGAATAAGTTAAACTTCTTTGGCTTTGGCTTAATTTAAAACAGAAATGTAAATTGCCTTGTGGAAAATACATAAATATAATTAATCAAAATGTATTTTATTAACAGTTTATTAGGCTCTTAGATCTTTGAGCAAACAGAATGAGTTGCAAAAGAAGTATTGTGTTAGTTGTATCCAGCTATTATGGAAAAAGCCTTAATCTCAGGGTTTATATATTTACTTTCATTAGTAAACGTTTTGAACATATAATGATTACATTCATTGTTGAGGTTCCTATCTCACATAATGTCATAGTGGTATTTATGATTGGCATTTAGATCCAAGATTAGGATTTTGATAAAGATTAGGACCACAATTTGTCTCTTTCATCTTTAACAAGGACCATTCTGTTCCTCTGCTTCAAGAAAGCACATGAAGGACCTCCTGTGTAAGGGTGTTATTTTTGGAAGGGATGATATTCCATTGATTAGAACTCAGTCATGAATATTCCAAGCACACTGTCAGGTCAGCAAAGGAGACACCTATTGATGATCTTGGCAGAGTTCCTGAACTGCGTGTTAAGTGTCCTTACTTTTTGCCTACCTTATTTTATTGTGATTATTTTGAGAACTGGAGGAATTCTAGCCTTGAAATTAACACAACTGAACTTGTGTACTATTTTTCACTTTTTGTAAGGCAGATTATTTACATTTTACACACATTATTTTGTTATCCATGAAATGATAGCTATATGTATAAATATTAAGAAAAATTCCAGTTCTAATATTCACAGTTTTTTTTTCTATCTACAATTTTTACACCTTATATTTCAAAGACTTAAGTATGCTTCCATGAACCATGTATTTTTTCCTGAAACAGAGGTAGATTTCAGACTTAAACTTTCCTTGCAGTGAGACGTTTCCAGTTGCTTTGGGTGTTAGGATTTCAACATATGAGTTTTTTTTTATGAAAACATAATTTAGTTTCATAGAAGTTATTGAAAATTAGAAGATATATTGAGAGTTCAGATTTCTAATTCCTTTAAAAAATCATCTGGCCACACTGAATTTTTATTATTATATTAAAAAATCATCTTTTACTAGTGGGGCCATGGGTAATTTTTTGAGGCCATGCTCTCATTAGTTCATTCATCTTAGTCCATGCTATTATAATCCCTGACCACTTTTAACATTTAATTTTGTGATCTTTGACTATAGGAGACATAGTAGTAGATGTATACTGCCAAACTACATGTTTATGACATAGAGCTCACGTCCTCAGTGTCTTAGGATACTTAGGGATTTCATCTGGGGATCAAGTTGTCTCTAACTGCAACATTTGATTCTTCCATATCCGCCTTCCACTGTTCCTTCTTGGACACACTACTTTTGGAGTCTCAGATCATAAACACTGGGTTCATGTACATCAGCAATCACATCTTGGAACTTCTCAAGGATTGAATGAAGGAATTAGCTCAATAATGCATGTAGAAAAATAAGATTAAAAGTTGGAGCATTTTGCTGTAAGTTCTTCAAAGACGATCTATCCAGATCATAGATTAGAATAAGGTTCCCAGACTGGTAATATGGGCCATATGTAGACAAAAGGTCATATTATTGTGTTACTTTGTGTCTCAGTATCTTTGTACATAAAATGAGGATGATAGGAGTATCTAGCTAAAATAGTTGTACAAGGATTAATTGACCTGCTATTTAGAACTTGCCAAGAATAGTGCTTGTCATAGACCAAGTAACTTGTTTTATTAATTGATGGAGATAACCTAGCAGTTTTGAGAATGGGTTTTGGAGTTAATTTAGTTTTCATTAGTACCATGTACCTTCCACTACCTATTTACATAAATTAGGCCAATTATTAAGGAAATGGATTCTTTATGGATAGAATGGGCACAAAAATATACTCATATTATTAGGTTATACAAATATGCAAAGGGATAAAAAATGTAAAGATTCCAATACAATTCATGGGCTATAAGAAGTACCTAATAAAAATAAGTAGATATATAAACTGGATAATCAAAAGAAAACGATTTTTAAAAATCTTCCACTGAAATGAATAATTAAATTTAAAAGGAGTAGATACTTGATCAATGTGTACATAGAGTATGAGAAAAACAATGAAAATTTTTATGGTCATATTAAATCATGTCCACACATTTTTAACTCAAAATAAATTAAATAACAGATTTCTAAAGTATATAAACATTTATCTTGTGTAAAATATCAATATGGCATTTTAGGAATTTTTGACAAGAAAAAATAAAATCCATTATAAATAGTTCCAATTGTGTTAACATTAACATTGATAATAAAATAAGAAAAGCCTTCTCGTCAGGACTTTTATATTCATTGCCAAGAGGCAAATATTGACTAAGATGTTCATCAATATTCAGTTTAAAATGTTATTATTTTTGATAATTATTGAAATAAGGTATCACAGTGTAAGTTTAGCATTTTAAAAATTGATCAGCATTTCATGGTAGTTGTCAATTGAACATTGAATGATGCAAATTTTCCGGAAACAAATATCATTCACTCCCTGACATTTAAAGACAGTTTACTGTTTCCATAACTCTTGCTTATTGGCACTTCTGATATTTGCAGTGGATCAAAATTTGAGGCTGAACATAAGATCACTTGGAGGAGATTTTTTTTTTGTTTTTCAATTTTTTATTTTATGAAAAGCCAAATAAATTTTCATAAGAGATTGACAATAGCTATTATACTGTGTTTCATCTTCAAACTACTCAGTACAAGGCATAAACTAAAAAAATTCTTACAAAAAATAGATAGTAACACAAACTTTATTTTCAATCAAGTAATATAAACTATGAGTATGTGAAACAAATTAGCATATATATTACAATATTTTTAAACAATGAAATATATAATTTGGGGAAATTTTTGATTTTCTTCTTAGTTTCTACTTATTTTTCTTATATTTTGCTCTTTAATTGCATGTAAATAGAATATATATTATATATACCATGTATATGCTTTTGTCATATAAGAGAAACATGCAATACTTGAGTTTGTGTATCATTTCACTTAATGTTATTCAAAACAATAAAAGAAATTCCATTTGATTCAACTATCCCTCTTCTAGGTATTTTGCTGTAAGAGTTAACATTATAATATTCCAGAATACACTCATGTTTACAACAGCACGATTTACAACAGCATAATCTTGGTAACAGCATATAAGGCCATCAATAGATGAATAGATAAGGAAAATAGTATTTATACATAACAAAATATCACACTGTAATTAATAAAGATAAATTTGAGGCATTTGTAGGTAAGTGGATGCAACTTGGAGGATATTTAAAATAGAGTAGTCCACCAAGGATATACCATTGGAGTTTATGACCCATGAGGAAAAGTTCAAATCTTAACTTATCAAAGCCATTGCAGATTGTGTTTGTGATTTTTGAATTTGGGAAATGCTGATCTTTTCACTAACCAGTGTTTATACTAGACCTAAAAACAATGTGCTTGAAATTTTTATAAATGATTGCAGTGATTTAGAGAAATACATGATCAGTAACGTCTGCATAAGAAGAGTTTTTTTATTACGTATTATATTATGAAACACTTTTAATCAATTGCAAAAGTAAAAATGTTAAGAAGGCTTAGTTTTGAAAAATTGTTATAATGTTAACTCAATATGCTTAGTTAAAAAATCTTTATTTTGAATTGTATTTCCTCCTTTCTTTTTTTAAAGCTGGAGTTCTTGCACTGCTTCATCAGCTCACAATGCATTTATGAAAGAGTATCCTAAAATATTCCTGCACAAAAAAATAGAATTACCTAAAATTTTGAAATGGGAGCCAAAAAGGTAATTTTTTTCCCTGAAACTTAAGTCTATACATTTGTTTGGGTATGCTTGCGTATTGCATGTTCTCTTGTCTACAAGTGGAGTTGAAAACAGTATCTGGTGACTTAGACATACTCTGTGCTCAGGAGCAGTCAAGGAAACAGAGTGGTAGGCAAGAGCAAATTTATTTTCTTATTGAAGAGAGATATTTTTCTACTTCTGAGGAGAATGTTTATTTACACTTTTCTCCACATGATTGTTTCTTTTCACTAATAAATAATAATGTTTGTAAAAAGGTTGAAAGTACCCTATGGCGTTTCATGTGGAACTTTCCCTTAGAAATGACTGTGGTGTCAGTAGGTGGAGGATATAAGAAGGGATGCTTTGTGTCAATGAATGAATGACAGTTGCAGGGCAATTGAAAGCATCTGAGAAGTCTATTTTCCCAGGCTTCTGCTTCTAGATGGACCTGTATTTTATGTATGCTTAAAGGCAAAGAGTGGGACTACTGACTATAACAGAAAATGTAACTGCCTTCTTTGGGAAGAGTGAGCATGGACTGCCAGTTCACAGGGTTATCTGTGCCCTCCTCGAATTACTCCTTGCACCAGTGGAACTTATATAATAACAGCATCAGATTAAAGAAAGCATCCTATTCCTTAGGAAAATAAAACATTTCTGTACTATTTACCTGCATCTTCTGTAGTGGGTATACAAATTTCTTACTCCATACTACTTTAGTAGAAATGATGTATCTACACCCTTTCTGACCCATTGCCCTGCCTCCTAATTGTACCCTGTATAGTTTCTGTTGTAGTGATAAGATTCCACTTTGCTTTGTACTATTTTCTTTTTTATGTCTGACCCTTGGCAGATTGCTTCTCACATAATTGTGATTAATAAATGTGTGTTACCACTTGGAAAAACTATTTACAGACTCTGTAAAAAGATTAAAAATGCCTTAATTTTTTATATCAACACTATAAAGATAAAAACTCAAACTAAATTAGTGTAACAAATACATTCTCAGGATTTGGAGGATATCAGCATGGAAGATATAAATTCATTTCATTACACTAAACCTTCCTTTCATTTATAGCTGTAGGGTACTATTATGTAGAAATTAATATGCTAGTTACCTCGGGAAAGTCTCTGGGAGATGGACTTCCTCTGCCTTTTCAAGAACAATTTCTTAAATTAATAATCAAAAACAGCCTTGTGGAAAGCAGATATTCAAACAGAAAATTTTCTGAGACCTTAATTATCTAGATCAAACTGTTTTCCTAGACAGTAAGACTGCCTTGAACAACCATGCAGAGCTTACACTGTGACTTATCAAATTAACATCACTCAGTCTATGGGAATATTTAAAGCAAATATTTTCTACTATTTAATTTGAAGTATGCTTAATTTCTATTCTAAATTTGTTATTTAGATTTAGAATTGTAAATTTAGCTCTATGGACTAAGGCATAAAGAATATTTACGGTACCTAAAATATCCATCTTGTCCTTGTTTCTTTGTTAAGCTATAGGCACTGGTCCGCTCCTTTAGATAAGGCATTTTTTTGCAAAACCACGTAGAGAAATACTAGTGGCTTGGTAAATAGAATATCATCTTCATATTTTTATGAAAGAAAGACTGAGACCCAAAATTTATACAAACAGGCAATTATGGTCCAAATGCAAAAATAAAGGGCAGGATTCAAAATGCACAACAACTAGCTAAATGCATAAATGTAATTGATTTGTTTGTTGAAAGTTCCAGAGAAGCCAATCAAATTAGCTTAAGAATCAAGGGAATTTTAAGAATAAAATTTCTGAAATCTTCAGAAAAAATAGCTTGCCGATGAAATTAAGAGCAAGTTCCCCCCATATGTCTGCCTCATCTTTGCTGGGTTGGTTTCATCTTTGCACTTCATGTGGTAGATCTGAACAGATGGGATGCATCTGCCTGTCCAGGTTCAGGTGAGGAGAGCGGTGATCTCTTAAAATACCTCTCTGGCAGAAGCTCATTGAAATCTCTTGTTGAAATATGTCCTGTCTCTGCCTTGTCACTGTGCACTAATTTGCCAGTCATTAATCACATGCTCATTCATAGAAGGGGGAATGCTATTAACACTAAAAAAGGCAGGAGAGAAAATAGATTCTTAGTAGAAAATTATTTTCTTGTTAACTGTAGAACTGCAGAATGGATGCAGAAACCTTAAAAATTTCTTGAAGACATACAAATCTACAGAATGTTGGGGCTGGGGATTTAGCTCAGCGGCATAAGCGCCTGCCTTGCAAGCAGGCAGTCGTGAGTTCGATCCCTGGTACCGGTAAAAACGAAAAAGACAAAAAAAAAAAAAAAAAAAAAAAACCAAATCTACAGAATGTTAAACAAAAATTTTCAATTAAGAAGAAGAAACAATACATTGAAAAAACTCAAAGAACTTTAAAATCATATGTACAATAAGAAATTGTATAAAGACATTTCTGACTATAACACAATAGAATAAATATTAGAATTAGAAGCAAAAATATCTAATTATTTAGAAGTAAAACAATACCAATAACAAAAACTCCAAACGCTTTCTAAACAATTATTAGGGTAAGGAAAAATTTAAAATTGAATAGTGTTTCAGTATAAACTGAAAGTAAAGAAACAAAAACAAAAGTAGACAAATGACATACCAAAAATGTCTAAAACAAAATGCAAAAAATAAAACAAAACAAAAAATTGTATGAAAGACCTAAGGGAAAAAATCAAGAGAATAAAGAGATAACTGATTAATTTGCAGAAAACATTTGTAAGCTGTATATCTGATACAAAGTTTTTATATCTCAAATATATAAGGAGTTCTCAGCAGTAAGAATACAATTTAATTAAAAACAATTATAAAATATAGACAATCCTCAAAAGTAGTTACACAAATGAAGTTGATACAATTTAGTATTTCTCTCATGGTAACAGTGAAATTATTTTTAACTGCAAATTTGTAATAGCATGATAAAAATATTAATTTACATTTTTCAACTAGAAAATTATGTATTCTAAAGCACTAATAGATATACTTTTAACTGAATTAAAATAAAATACATTAAGAAAATTTTCTCTTAGTTTAGCTTAAAAAGCAATATGATATAACTATGTACTCAGATGGTGAAATAAGAGCTCAGGTAAAACAAAAAATTGTTTAAAAGAATAAACTCATGGAGAGAAGTGCATGTTAACAGATTCTAAATACCTGCTAAATATTAAAGTTCAATCTAAATATTAAAATTATGCATCAACCTTGGTTATTATTGTCATATTCAACATTGTATATTTAATTTAACACTAATACTATGTGAAGACTGTGATAACAAATAAGGCACCTGCCTGGCTGTGGGCAGCTGTGGGATGCCTGATGCCTGAGCATTTGCTAAATATTGAAAGAACATAGTCATGTGCAAAGAGAGAAAAATGCTCCATGAAAGCCTTAAATTCATTTGGGGCAGTGCCTCATTCATGAAAATAAATGAAAGTCCTCACTGAGAAATTAAGAAGCAATAAATGACAGAAAACTTAAAGACAGGACAAAGACAGTTTGAAACTATCATTATCTAAAATTTATTTTATTCATGGATGTATTAGAAGGTAGGAATAGATTCCTGGGAAGTAAGATAGAGAAATAGTTGCCCTGTTTTAAAAGGGAACATTGAATTTTAAGCTGGAAGACTTGAGTTTGAGTGCCTGTGTGGCCCGATAGCAACATGTGACTTCGGAGATATCTCTTCACATGATCTTCACTAGGTATTTATTAGAAAGAGGACAGTATTAACATTCTACCTCAGACTTCTCACTCAAAGGGATTTGTAATTAAAATAACTGTTTTGATTATCATGTCCTATAAATGGCAGTGATATTTTATGTGAATTATACCTTTTGTTAAGAAGTTCCTTTTTAAAAAAATAGGTTAAATAACAAGATTATCTCACATTATTTAAAATACCATTTTGATACAACTAAATGACTTCTATATTCCAATGGGGAAGATGAAATTAACAATATTATAATTATCATTATGAGAATTCTTAATAGTGATACTATTCACTGATTGGCTTATCTGTTCCCATTAAATATAGTTTATTATTACAAAATCTAATTGCCACCATCATCAGTATTATGAGAAATCTTAATCCATTAAGGAGATCCTTCTAGCGTGGTGGCACACACCTATAGTTGCAGCACTCAGGAGGCGAAGCAGGAGGATCCTTATGAGTTGGAGGCCATCCTGGACTACAAAGTGGGCTCAAGGCCACCCTGAACTGCATAGAAGAAACCCTGTCTAAAAAAGATTAGAAAAAAAGAGAGATTCGTATAATCTCAGATTCATATCTGTATTCTTCTGTCTTAAGAACATGGCATTATATAAATGTACTAATTTAAAATACTAGCTTTTTATGTGAGTAGGAGCACTTCTAAGTTATTGTATACTAATTTCAGTGTAGTTTTGCTTAACAATTTAAATCTTACTATCTTCTATTGATATTTTAATTTGCTTTTTACTAATGTTTGAGAGTCTTGGAAACATTGGAAAGCCAGACAATTTCCTGAGAACTATATTTATATAATAGTGAAAAAATTGTAACCACAAAAATGAATATGGAAAATAGTTAATATTCTTAAAAATATGATTTTTCATATTCTAAAGTTCCCAAGTCAGCATTTCAAGTTACTCTCTGTCTCTATCTGAACAATTATATTAATTCGTATTTTCTAAACCATGAGCAATGATCTTTCTAATAATTTAAGTATAATTTGTATTTATTATTCACTGTTCAGTTTTTTGATTGGACAGTTCATTAGTCCAAGCTTTTGTTGTAAGTAGCAAAATTCCAATTGAAAGAAACATAAACAGTCCGAAACTGTTACCTATGCATTCATCTGATCAATCAGAAAGCTGTCTTTAGGGAAAATGAGACAAGAACTTGAGTATGTGTAGACTCTCGTCATCGGCTTGTATTTGTACTCTTTTTGTTTGTGGCCTTTTCATGT